CAAGAAAGTTCCAAACTAAAAAGAAGACTTTATATTGTTCGTAAGTTTATAAAACTTCTGTATATAAATTATTGTTTGTTATAACCATTTGTAATAATTGTTATTGTAAATTGTATTGTTTTGTGTGTGTGTATATTAAAACGTATTTGTGTTAAAAAGAAAACCGTGTGTATCAATCTTGTTAGCAAATATCATAAACTGACTATATATTGGCTTTTACTTAACTGCTAAATACAAGTAGAATTTAACTACTAAATTTAAGGTATAATTTAACTCGGTTTCAGACCATTTGAAATTCTAATACGTAACAATGGCTCACACAGATTCATTATAAAACATACTGACACGGGACTAACCTTTTTGACTAGCTTCACGAGGAACACCTAAATGACAGAGACAGAAAGTATATGATGAAATATTTCTGGTGTATGTATGCACAACTTTGTATAATTAGAATGAGATAAGAATAACTTCAAATACAGAAAGTTTCTGTTGATTTTGTGTAACAGAGTTTTTGTTTTTTTTTAAACACGAAAATATTTTACTTTTAAGGCTATTCTTAAGTGAATGACGATAAACATTAAAACATTTTGAAGCTTAAGGGTAGGAATAAGTAAACAGCATGCACCACTTTCTGAAATACATATCCTTCAATTTTTATATATAAATATTCTTTCTTCTATTAATTAATATTATGTTATCAAGTTTTTCACTTACTTGGGCAAGGGCCATTTATAAACATAATGTCGTCAAGAGCAATATCCCCCTGTTCTGGCCTCAGTATTTCTGCTTCGAACACTGCCTATTAGATGGTGTGTGACAAATAAAAATATTTTTATTTTATTTGTATAGTGTTAAACACAACTCTACACAATGGGTTATCTTTGCTCTGCCCACAGCGGGTCTCGAAACTCGATTTTAGCGTAATAAGCCCACAGACCTACCGCTGAACCACTGAGGTCAAAACAACAAGACCAAACTGGTGGAAGATACTTCAGGTAGATAATGATATTAATACTGGTGGAAGATACTTCAGGTAGATAATGATATTAATACTGGTGGAAGATATTTCAGGTAGATAATGATATTAACAAACTGGTGGAAGATATTTCAGGTTAATATCATTATCTATACTGGTGGAAGATATTTCAGGTAGATAATGATATTAATACTGGTGGAAGATATTTCAGGTAGATAATGATATTAATACGTTGAAATTTGGTAGGACGTTTAACTGATCCACTTTTATATTCTTATCAATTTTCTGATTCTTAAAATACATTTAAATTTTCATATTCGTCGAAACTGTGTTATAACGAACCATATGTTTAATAAAACTTTAACTTCTTATATTCTGTATGAACAAATGTTATATCAATAATGTATATAAATTTCATGGTTTGACAAAACTAAAATCCTGCACTACAGTGAAACCTTAATTTTACGTGTTGTCATAGTCAGCTCACCGGTTTCCAACACGCCCATTTTGACCTGCGCGTGGCGAGAGAATTAATACTAAAACTCACAACCATTGATATATCATTCGAGTTTTAAAATACTCAAAAAAAGTCTTCGAAATGTTATGATGGGTAAACATGTTGAACTTGTCGTCAAATTTGATGACACACTGAACTGTCTTTAACCCATCATATCAGTGTTTTAAAATTAAATCCTGCTGTTGATGACACACTGAACTGTCTTTAACCCATCATATCAGTGTTTTTGGGTTCTGTAAGCTGGTATGAACGTTAGATCT